TCCCAACCCTGTTACTCCCTTCTTTTATGAATGCAGCTGAAGTCCACCTTTTTCTCAGCTTGGGGATGACTTCTGCAATGATGTGACAACTAGCAAAAATAAACCCAAGATGAAGGTAGCTCTGGTACCTTTGGCTTTTCATTTCAGCTCTTTACTGTTTCTTATGAAACTCACTTGATGAAAAGTCAGAGAGGTGACTTGCATGTATCACGGAGTAAATGGACAGGTGACCCTAGTGTTGTTAAAAGTTCATGGAAGTCCATGTTTCCTTCCTAAGGCAAATAGGAGGGAAAGCAAAGAATAGGCTCTGACTCTGCTTATTGGCTTCCACATCTGAGCCAGCACTGAAGGATAAGAATTAGTTATTAATACAGGTCAGGTCAGCAGTAAGTTAGCACTTTCTTTCAAGACCAGGGAAAACTGGAAAGAAATTGTGTCCATTATATCTTTGAGTCCCAGGGCTGCTTCAGAGATGGTGTAGCTCACACTTGGTGGCCAGACTCTGGATTTGTAATTAATTCTGTTTCCTACTGCACCTTGCTCAGACACAAAAAAATTTAGCCAGCAACTGGGCTGGCTTTTCAGACACACATGCAACAGAACATACACAGAATTCTTCCTGACATCATCTATGCCATGCTGGCAAATGCTATTTCTTCCTTTCTGTTTTCCCCTGCCAGCTGTGTGCAAGCAGAAAGAGTCCTTGGAAAACTTTGTGCACACATAGAGCAAGGATGTAACTTTATGCAGACATCCATCAGCAAGGATGTAACAAGCCTTGTGAGCACAGCCAAATGTGCATACACCTCTGAAACTAAACCACCTCGCCAATGAGTCAGGGAGAATTTTGTCACGATGTTCCTGAAGGGCAGAGAAACAGCTTGCTTGGGAGAGGAGGCAATTCTGCCAATCATCTGCCATGAGATGATGAGAAAAAGAAATCAGGCCACTCTCTTTCCTAAGGGAGAGCTGTTAATTGAGGTCTGTAGGTTCCAATCCTAAATCCACATAGGCAACTGAACAACTGCAATACTAAAATGCATCTGATGTGTGCAGAAACCAACAACAGGATCTTCCACTTATTAAAAATCTGCTTGATGACTAGAAGCAAAATGCAGGTCTGCACTAACAAAAATCATGGTGTGTGATAACTGCAGGTCCCTCCCTCCTGGTGCAGCAGGATACAAAGCCAGGCCAAAAGAGCCTCACCCAGAGGCAGCACTGCTGGAGATTCACCACCTCATTGCTAAAGGGACCAGTCTGAAGCAGGTTTCTTCCTTCCCACCCCAAGGAGGGAAAGCACACCTCCCCAAGATGTTTGAGGGTTTGCAGAAGGCAGTGGGAACCCACCTAACAAGTTCCTTTTGAAGTGAACAAGCCCCTTTGGAAGTGATAACAGAAAAATACCTCAGGGAACCACGAGAGGTGGGAGGTGCTCAATCTGTGAACACCCAGAGCTTACTCATTCATGTAACCTTAATAGCAGTTATTTGTTCAACACCAAAAAAGTTCTGAAATAAAATTGCAATTACTTGGGTGAAACTCAGTTTTGGTAGACTCAAGAGAGAAATTCTCTTTTCCATCAGTGAAGTCATATTAGCTAAGAATATATTCTGAAAAGGTTAAATAAGCTTGTGCCTGGGCTTTAAGGGTCTTTGTGTACTGTACCTGCCAGTTTAAATGATGACTGCAAAGATCTGTCATAAAACTTTTTCCAGGAGAGGCAAAAGCTTTCTCTGTGCCACTGTTTTTAATATACTGTGACTCTTGCTCCTAGTAAATTAGGTTATTTATCCCTTTTATTTATATGCACTGCTCTAACACGATAACAAACCAAAGTGATAGATACATCTATACCAGTCATCAAACTCAATAACAAAGCAACAGCAACTGTGTGTAACTTTACCCTATTGCTATCAATTTATATAAAAGACAAATTCTTCAAGCGGCAAACATTTGAAAGTAAATTCTTTACCATTCTGGACTTCCAGCTATTACTATGTCCTCTGATCTAAAATCCTTCCCCAGGCAGCTCCCACCTCATGGACACCTGATGTTGATCTCACAGACCTTATCCCAATTCACCTCTGGCTACGAGAGAAGCCGCTCTTTATTACTCTGCTGAAATTGAAGGCAGAATCAGGCCAGTGATCAGAAATACACAGGATGCAGAGTTCTTCCATTTTGGAGTTCAGAGTCTAAGCCAAAATCAGAATGTCAAAGGCTGAAGCAAACCTTATTGGATTGCAGAATAACTCCTTCTGCCTTCTGCAGATAAATTTTACATTTAGATGCATAGGGGAGACTCCCACTGCAGTCAATAAAAATTATGCTCATCCAGCGTTATTTATCACCAACCCAAATGCCCATTGTGCAAGTGCTTGGCTAAAAAAAGGGGAGTCTTCAGGAAACAAGCATTCCTGATACTGTGTTTAAACTGCCTCAGATTCTCACGTAGAATCTCTTAGCTTTATCAGCTTCCTGAAATACTCACCTAATTTATGCTATTCATTTACATTCTATTCCAAATTGAACTTCTATTTCACTGGCATATTAAAATGAGCATACTAAAGAATGGTGCATTTTAAAATAGTAACAGATGGATATGTCTGTAGAGTTGTACAGATTTAGATTCCTACTTTAATTATATAATTTTAAAAAAATTGAGTAAGCAGTATCCACCTTTCACTTTATTTCCTGAAACACGTGCTTATAGTTTATTCTGTGAGCCAGCATGCAATATAATATCATTTTGTAGACAGATGCAGCAAGTCTAGGCAAAAAAAAAAAAAATTACTGGGGAAAATATCCATCCATTAACTGCTAACTATCTTTACAAATTTAGATTTTCAAATTAATGATATACGGGGCTATTCCTCAAGCAGCACTGTTGCCCAAAAAAACCAGTTTGTGGATATGTCTACATCACAATGTCCCTGAATAGAATTTTTGCTGTCTTTATGTATGTAAGACAAGCTCTCCTATTACACTGATAAACAAGGATCTTTATTTTTTTGAATTAGCTCTAAGTTTGAAATTTGTTTTCAAAATGTCCTACACTGGGGGAAAATATGATCTTTTTATTCATTCATTGCTTTGCTATTAATGAAATTCCTCAAAATGGAATAAATAAGTGCATGAACTTACCTAGAATTTAGAAACATTATTTGCTTTTGGCATTAGGTGTTATCATTTCAAACAATCATATCTTTTAACCTGTTAACCTATTCTTGATTGTGCTTTGCCTTTCACATCCTTGTGATGCCACCTCTTAATTTAGGAAATGGCACCTTTTTTCCTTTAGTTCTAATGGCTTTTACTTCGACACTTGTTTCGCAGCTCAGAAGGCGTGCCTTTTGCAGGCATACTGCTCCGATCAGCTTACACCTTACAAATACCGGCACAAAGAAGCTTCAGTCTCAGAAGCTGCATTTACACAGATACTCATCTTGGAGCACAGACTAGGCACAAAAAAAAAAAAAAGGTTATCTGTCATTATCCTAATTGTTTGTAAGTGACGACTTAGACTATTTGCAAAGTAAACTACTATTAAATTTGAACCAAAAGTAAAATATGCTTTAAGGTATTTCTAGCCTTTCAGCAAGCTGAGAAAGCACACCAACGACTGCACGGAAAACATTTCCCTTTCCCTGTGCCGCTGGACAGACACTGGAAGTCCCAGCGGAGCGATCAGCGCCGTGGGTCCGGCGGCGGGACCGCGCATTTACCGCGCTCCGGTAGCATCTCTCTGATCCCTCCTCTCCTTTGTGATCGCTGATCCAACAGCCTGTTTCGCATTGGTTTTGTACCCGCTTTATTAGCGAGTTAATGTGTTGCTTCTCAGGAGACCTTTAAGCTTAAAATATTTCTTTAATTAACGGAGCCTAATCTTAAAGAGCCAAAGCCGGCTGCGGCGCTTCCACACCGCGTGAGTGCGCGAATCCCACCGCCCCGGCTCACGGGGGATGCTGAGGAAAGGACCATGCCTTCAACTTGCCGGACCGGTGACAGAGAGACCCGGTGTCCCCGGCCGGCCCCCGGTGTCCCCGGTGCAGCCGGAACGCCCCGGGGCTCTCTGCGCTCGGCAGCGGG